TTGTTGTGCATGCTCTTTTTGTTGTGCCACTTTGTGAAGTTTTTATTGTTTCTCATGTCCAGGGTAACCAAAATGGAGACAGCCTCCATTTCGTTGCTCTAACGGAGATAAAGATCAGCAGATCAAGAAAGGCGAGAGACGACACCTGGAGTGAATGTGTGTACTTCAGTGTAAAGCAGTAGAGCAGGACATGTTTTATCTTCGTCTCTGTATAATCAGACATGAACACTTTAGTGTCTCTCTTAAAGTTTGATTTTGCTGGGGTGGCTCACCTGGTGGGGCCCACATCATGTGTTGCAGTGGCCCGGTTTCGAGTCCGCCCCAAGACCAATGCTGCATGTTATCCTCTCTCTCTCTCACTGTGAGTGGGCAATCTAATATAGCAGAAAATGTCAAGAAAAGTTTATTTTTGCTTAACAGGACATTTTTTTGGAATATCATTTTACCTCGCTGTAATCTCATTAAACAAGCATTTTCAAAGACAAAGTGTGAAGTGCAATAATTTCCACTATCTAGCCAATAGGTTCCAAAAGAGTTTAGTTCTTCTGGTGCCACCAGCTACAGTACTGAGGGCTTCCACAATTAGAAAGTGCTAAACTTAAGTCACAGTGGAAGCTTTCTTCATTGTCTTTACAAAATAGGGTACACATATCAGTATTTGTAGTATGGTGACTGTGTGTCACACTCCTTTTATATAAATCTGTTTATCCATGTGGCCGGTTCAAAGTCTATCGATGGTTTTGTAAGGTTTGGTCATGTTAACAGCTATTTTCACTTCTTTGTCATTGTGTTTTCATGCAGAACGTGTCCAAAAAGTGTAAGAAGTATTTGTATAGTATACAAGATTAAATAAATACATATAATTCTATTACGACGTGTGTTCAGCTACTGCAACACTTTGAACTTGAGAATGTGTGTTCAAACCACAAACTTTATCGGCAAGTGTGGTGAGGAAACTAAATTGAGCATAATGGGTGTTCTTCACAAAAACTAGGTTGTATGAAAACCAGTTAAAACCACATGTGAGACACAATTGTACTGCTCTGGAAGCGCCTCAGATTGTTCTCAGTAAGAGTCTGGTGGGGAGTCACAATTGCTTAAGATTACAGGGAGGCATTACACAGAACAGGAGGCTTCAACAGTATATTAACCTGTGACAAGTCTGTATGTTAATCAAGTGGAAATCTACTAATGTTAGTGCAAAATACCTGTTCTGCCTCTACACATCATTAAATTCATAACCACAGAGGTGGTGCAGCTGATGAACCAATCAGCCCTGACAGATGTCTGTTAAGTCTGCTGTTTCTGGTGCTTCGGTCAGTCAGAACTGCTTAAGCAGACAATCTGATTGTGAATGATTTCCTACTCTGGTGTTTGTGGAAGTGACAAATCTTTTATTTAGACCAGAGGACGGAAAATACATTGGCTTGACAACATGTGGCCAGATACTGTTTACGAAGGGGACCAAGCTGGACTTTGAGGATAAGTAACTTTTAGTAGAAGTTCTCTCAGCTGATAAATAGTTATGGTTACTCCTTTATCAAACATAAAATGAACACAGAGTAAAGCTGCTTTGTAATGCCATAATTGTCGCTTTGGGAAAAACTGTCAAATGAAAGTAAGTGTCTGGATTTGCAGATAATATGCTCATCAGTTGACATACAGTATATGTTAATAGGTCACATGGTACACGTCAATCCTGGATCTTTGGCACCCAGATATACTGGCTTTCTTGGAGTGCATGATCATTAAGAGAACTTGCAGCCACTGTGCAGGTATCTGCTACTGTCTTATGCAGGATTTTCAGCTTCCTCCACAGCCAATGCTGTTCAGATGTGATTTACTGTTTCCCATGTCCAGGGTTGCCAGGATGAAGATAATGTCCAGCACGCTGATGGATGGGAGAACAAGATCACAGAGACAGAAAGAGGACACTTGGACTGAATGTGTGTACTTTAGTGAAAAGCAGTAGAGTTCAATTCAATTCAATTTTATTTATATGGTGGCAATTAACAACAACAGTTCTTTCATAGCGCTTTTCATATAGAGCAGGTCGAGACTGTACTCAGAAATAGAGTTGAACACGTTTCATCCAAGGAAGGTTTGAAGTCAATAGCAAGTGGACTTGGTTGAAGATACTTGAAGACGTCCCTCTCCTCCAACAGACTTCTTCAGTTCTGACTGGTAGGGAAACTCATCTATTTAACCTCTGTCAGGGTTATTTGTCAAGATGATCCAAACCGCTGGTTTGTTAGTGCTTCTGGCTGTTTTAACGACAGTCGTTACAACACTGAAGTCAACCCGAGATCGTTGGCATCTAAACCTGAGGCCAAAAGAGTATGTTTGTTTAGTTTCCTGGGAATTGATGAAAGGATATCAGTGTAAGTAATATAGCCACATACAAGTGGTGGAGCAGACTGCCTACCCTGTTAAACGACGTAATCTCAACCGAGGTGTAAATGGTCGAGTGCCTGACGTTTCAGTGCGAAGTCAGGGCAGTGCAGGTGTTAATGGTCAGGCCAAGCCCATATCGGTCCAGCGGCCTTCTCAGGGGTGTCCCTGAGTCTGTCACTAGGTGATGTGGTGGTCGGGGCTTTAGCCGGCCTGTGTACGACCGGGAGAGTCCAGTAGAGGGCGTGTGAGATAGAACGAAGGTTATGATATGGTAACCCTAGTTCTATAAGCACAGGCGGAGCCCTCTACCGATGAGCCCTGGCGCTCTGACACCGTCTGCTGAAAAGGCGGTCGGATGCTGAGGCAGTAGGGACACTGCTATTTATATGTCACGCACGTATCGGTAGCGACGTCCTGTTGGTCGGCTACGTGCACAATAAAATTTCAGTGGACAAATGCATGCGTGTGATTGGAGGAGGTAGTACCCATAAAATTCAGTAGAGGGCTCTGCCTGTGCTTACAGAACTAGGGTTACCATATCGTAACCTTCGTTATCTGCTAGTGTAGTAAAAACAATGTGAACTTATGGGATGGTGCAAATTCTTAAAATTAAGGTAAAATAATATCCTTAAAATATGGTTTAGAAAGGATACAATGCACTGTGTGAAATCAGTAAACTGAGGAATTATTGTTCCACTTATTTTGACAGCTCTGTGGTTTCCAGGTGAGGGGGCCTCAGATTTTTCTCTGAGAGGAAGTGCCTTCACCTTCTGAATTAGGAAATACTGTGTATAACGTTTATTAAATCAGGTAATATCATCTCTTCTATTGCAAGAGGGAGTCCAGCAGGTAAAAGATAAAAACAAACTGCCACACAACAAAAAGACAAATACACACACATCCTGAGAGACAAAGGCACATAAAGAACCATAGAGAATCAGAGACATCACTTAATAGATTTGACATAAAAACAGCCAGTGGGATTAAACATTCAAGTTTTCAAATGTTCTATTAATTCTATTCATAGAGTATGAAGTGGTGGAAGGCAGTCTTCCCAAGTTCAGTGTGCATAAGATCAGTAGAGTGAAAAAGTCCGGAAATCTGGTCTGGTGTTAATTTGGTTTTAAATTTAAGGGCCCAGCACAGAACCTGGTGGTACCTCCTTATTTATCCCAAAGGTGGCTGTTCTGAGACCACTACAGATTGTCTATGACAAACATGCATGAAACCAAACATCCAAACCAAGATGATATAGTTTAAGTTAAATGCTAGACAATGCTGTGCACTTTCAGAAGTGTCAGAGAAGCACTTCTCTGCTCTGCCTCGCTTAAAATACGCGCCTGGTTTATTTTTGACAGAAGCCGCGTCAAGCTGCACAGAGCAGATCGAGCCAGGCAGTTCAGCTGCTCTGTGATTTCAAGGTAAGAGCGCCTCAGATTGTTCTCAGAAACGGTCTGGGAGGAAGTCACATTTACTTAAGATTACAGGGAGGCATTACAGAGGACAGGAGGCGTAATACAGTATATTAACCTGTGATACATGTCTGTCTCTTCAAAAAGTTAAAGCCATTTTGGTACAAAAAGCCTTTTTGTTTCCTTGGACAGTGCTTCATTGCTGAGCTGCAGAGGAAGAAAAACAAAACAGATTCACTTGCTGACTGTGGTTTCTTTACACCTGCAAGTGCACTGAATACTACATCATTACTGAAATGCCTAAACAAAAGTGCTGTGCTGACATTAATCAGAACTTTAGGGGAATATGAAGATACTGAGACATATCATCCACAGTGCAGACCTGTCCACTCCTCCTTTAATGTTTGCCACACCATGAGAGGAAGAGGTTGACATTTAGGGAACATTTTTATTAACTTAGCACAAAGAGTGGAAACAGGAATAAACAGCTAACCAGTCTCCCAAAGGTAAAAATCTGCCTACCAGCACCTCTAAGGCTCACTAATTAACATGTAACAGTCAAATCATGGTTTATGGTGGGTTAAGTACCTAACCAAGAATTATGTATTGACAAGAGAGCAAATTACCGTATTTCCCTAAATTTCATTCTTTTCCTTTAAGCAGACTTGCAAAGAGTCAGTTCACACATATCAGGAAACTGGCCATGTAGAAAGTTTTATTTGTTGTGGTCTTAGAATTTGGTTAATGATGCTCACAGAATTTAAACAAATCTACTTTCTACTGAAGACAGTTTCTATTGTGGAATATACAGAGTGAATTTTTTAATGTTCTAACATGCTGTAGTTCCCCGCTTTGCTCACCTCATCCAAGTACCACAGTACAGCTGCTGTTAGATATTTTGGCTTTGTTACCCATACACACGTTTTCTTTCTTACCATCCTTTTAAATGTTGACACACTTTCATATGTGTCTTCCATTCTTCTGGAAAGTATGCAGCTAAATTGCAGTTTCCATTTTGCCCACCTCTTTGTGGTTTACCTGCGTGTTGCCATTTAATGTCAAAGAGCTGATGAGTTGAAGATTTGATGTCAAAACAGGTCATGATGAAGGTTTTGTTATTGCTTCACTGTGAACCAGCCAATCCTGTTCTGCAGGGTGAGGACGATGAACCAATCAGACCTGACAGATGTGGCCGAAAGTAGGCCAAGTGGTGAATCTGTTAAGTCTGCCGCAGCGTCAGTAGGTCAGAACTGCTGTGGAGAAGAAGCAGGATCAGAGAAGCAGCCAAGAAGATGGTGTCCTTTGTGAATGTTTTCCTGCTCTGGTCTTTGTGTGAGTAACGAAGAATCCACTTGTGGAATCTTTTCATGAGCATCTTCACACACAAATGTGTTGATTTCATGTCATCTTCACACTCAAACATGGTGATTATATCCTGTCTGTATATTTCAGGTGTGGCACAGCATAGTGACATCTCTCAGCCGGTTCCTTTCCAAACAGTGAAGCTCGGAGACTCAGCTACTATTGAGTGTCACATAAAGAGTGAGATGGGAAAAAGAGTGTGGTACAAAACTACAGGGAAAAAACTGCAGCTTGTGGTAGAAATAAACTCCAGCTATAATGTGAGTGTATTTAGTGCTGAATTTCATCACCGTTATTCAGTAAGATTTGACAAATTCATCAGTAATCTGAGCATATCTGCAACAACATGGGAGGACGTTGGAACATACTTCTGTGGAGTAATGCACTTTAACAGCATCAAGTTTGGACCAGGAACCTTTTTAATGCTGAAAGGTATTCATTTCCAGGATTTTACCCTAATTGCAAATTCATTTCAGCTGTGTTTAAACAGAATTCTAATGATCAGACTTCTTTGATTTCTTTCCCAAGGTGCAAAGATGATCAGCGACTCTGTCGTCCAGCAGCCAGAGTCTCAGTCAGTCCAGCCAGGAGACTCTGTGACTCTCAGCTGTTCTGTTCTCACTGGCCACTGTGCAGCAGAACACGTTAGTGTCATGTGGCTGAAAACCTCAGATCATTCTGCTCCAGAAATGATTTACTCCTCTGGAAATAAGAACGACATCTGCCAGAGGACTGAGAGCGGAGAAACTACCTGTGTGTCCAACCTTCTCATGAGGAACCTCAGCTCTGATGATGCTGGAGCCTACTGCTGTGTTGTGACTTTGTGTGGACAGATACTGTTTGGAAATGGGACCAGGATTAATATTCACAGTAAGACAGAAACTGTCACTGTAAAATACTTCCAATTCCTAGTAAATCATATAAATGATAAATGCAGAGAAAATGTTCCACCATTGACATTGCCTTTCACGTTTAGTGTATTCTACCCAGACAAGAACGTTGTCTACAAATCCTTTAGTCAGTCAGCAAAAAAAACAACTAATGTTGGGCTTTGGAAAACTGAGATTAACGTTTGTCGCTATGTCCTGACATTTTATAGACAAAACAATTAATTGAGTATAATCAAAAAATAATCCATCTATGTCAATAATAATCAATAATCATATTAATAATCTTTATAATCTTATTTGAAGCCCTAAAGCCAAAAGTTTTGCATTCTACAATATTTATGTGCGGACAGTAGGGTTCCTGTGCAACACTCAATTTTTTTCGATTGCGGCCGATATCTCACAGCCAAGATATGCTAAATAAACAGAACTGTTTGCATTGATTCATTACAACTGATTGGTCCAGATTTTTATATAAAAATAAAAGTTTCTTTACTCTCTTCTGTAAAACGCAGACACCAAGCCACCTGAACAGAGTCCAACCGTTATCGCACTGACGCTGTCAAACATCATTCTTGGGACTGTGACAGTCTGTCTTATATGGACACTTTGCAAGAGGAAAGATTCCACAGGTATTTAAAATTGTTATATTGATTGGCTGAAGAATCAGATCCTCATTCAGTTGATTTCTGCACTAATTGGAACTGACTGTAGTTATTTTTTGTGTGTTTCTTCAGAGGCAACTGATGGATGTTCAGAAGGCAATCAGGCAAGAGTTTAATTTGTTGTGTAAGCAGTTTTCTATGTCCAGCGTTTAGAATAATTCTTTTAATGTCCATTTCTCACAGACTAGTGATGCAGTTATCTATGAAGATTTGTGTTCTGTTCCCAGAAGCCTCCCAGCCAGTCAAACCTCAGTGAGATCCAGTGAAGACTCTGTAGTTTATTCTGACATCAAATACTGTCCGCAGAACTGAGTTGGGTGATCTGGGGAATGCAGATAAACCAGGCAGAATGAAGAATGCCTTGCTACTAAACAAATATATATCTATCTATATATGTTTAGTGGTATAACAACTTTAAAATATGAGATTTTCTGGAGTGCCAGTCAGTGGACTATCCCACATACTGACAAATATGGAAATACTAAACTGCTTTAACTCAGTAAAAAGTTATTGTTACCGCTAACTTCCCTTTTGGATTTATTGTGTTTTTCTCTTTGATTCTCTTTTTTGTGTTTGGAGCATCTCTGCCTAGAGGCGCCACTTTATAATTGTAATCAATAAAGACGTTCAATCAATCAAGCAGTCTTGAATGACTGTGGCTGCTGGATAAAGTTATTTAAAGTACGTTTGTGGTTGTAAAAGTCAGTTGTTAATAACACCAGAATAAACCTAAGCTTCTACAATTGATTAAAATCATTACACAGAAAAATGGCCAGTGGATGTCAGAGACCTGCTACTCTTACACCAATGTAAAAATAAATAAATAAATAAATTGTAAAATTGGCTACTTGTTCATTTAGGAATAATTAACTGTGCAGCAAAGGTCTTGTGATCTCACCAGGTTTGCAGTAACTGATGATCACTGTGCAGCAACTAAACATAATTAGTTTTAAAGGGCCATTCTACCCAAATTTCAGAAAGCTATATTTTCTCACGTAACCCTTGTAGTATCTGTTTTCTGTTTAATGTGCCACACATTTCCGATATCTACCTCTGAACATAGCAAATGCTGTATTGTGTGGTAAAATAATTTGTCAGCTTGAAAAAAAAAAAATCAGCGCTGTGTATTTGCAAAAACTACAGGGAAGATGTTGTTGCCCAGGAAAACCTCACAATGAGCAGTTTCTTTATGACTATTTCTTTCTTGAGTGTAAAGAAGTCCTAATAAAAATTGTTCACAGATCTGTGGTCTGTGGAACATCAAATGTAAGTTTTTAGAAACACAAACAATTTTAATTTAACTTCACTGTATGAAGATAAAATTTGGCAGTGAGTAAACTGGTCCTTAAATGTAGAATAGTATAAAAGGTAGTAGGCAAAAAATAGAAAAAGACAGCTTTTTAAATATTGCTTCACAGAGGAATGTGGAAAGTGAGCACACAGAACATGTTTGTTGTTGAAGACTGAAGTAAATAGTTTCTATTTATGACTGGTAACCGAATAAAGTGAGTAGTAAGTTGAACTCTGCACAACCGGGCAAGACGCCGACGAAACAGCTGATCAGACGCGAGTTACAAGTTCACTACGTCAGAACTGGAGAAAAAGTGTTTCCATCTCCCATTTATTGCATTTACTCTTTTTCAACAAAGGCAAAAACCACCTCAAGCGAGAGTAGAAACTTTTTTGTGAAATTAATGATTTTTTTTCAAATTTTTCCGTTTCCATCAACCTTTTCTAATGCAATACTTCAAAATGCGCATTAAAAAACATTGATGGAAATATGGTTACTGTGATGTAGAGATTGTTACTGTTACTCCAGTCCCTGTTACTAAGCTGGTAAGAGCAAAATATATAGCTGAACCAAAACCGACTTTTCATGATTTTAAGTAAGAGGCTTGTGCGTCTGGGCAGAGATTATGTTTATAACTGTGACAAATTCATCTGGGTAAATTGTTTGTGGAATATATGGACCACTGCATCCTGTTTATTGCTGTGTTTTTTGTTTCATGTTTTGTATTAGTACAAATAACACCCGTTCTGGGCTCCCTGAGCACTGCATGGCCAGGCCCCCGGGTACATCTCAGACCTGTTGCACCTATATACCACCACTAGGCCACTAAGATCCCCAGACCAAGGCCTATTAGCTGTACCGTGTGCACGTCTCAAAGTTTGAGGTGGTCGTGCAGTCCAAGTGGTGGCACCAACACTCCGTCAGACCTACACTCTGGGGTCCCAGTCGAAGCATTTAAAAATCAGCTATTTAAGCAGGCCTTTGTCCCCCTGTAAACATTTAAAGGTGAATATTTATGTGCTCTTTAAATTACAAAAATTTAATTTAATTTTGATTATTCGTGCACCTGTTAATATACACAAATACACTGATTATACTGATTGATGCCGTTTTATAATGTTTGATGCTTATGTATGATTTTCTGATTGTTCCACTGTTTTTATTGTTGCTATTTTTTATCATTGTGAAGCACCTTGCGATTTGCTCTGTGAAAGGTGCTATTTTAATACATTGTACTTATTTACTTATTTACACAATACTATGTGTGAAGCCAATAACGGTGCTCTATCAAGGCGGAAGTCCAGTTACACGATTGCTGAATGAAAGTTGGCTGACGGTTCCTGTGTGATAAAGCAGCAGTTATTATCCTTTAGCACAGTTGTTCGGATTTGTTTTGCCTGTGTTAGCTCCTGTCACTGCATGCAGAGTCAGTAGCTATACTTTACCGTGACTAAGTCCAGGACCACGGCCATGAATGCAAGTTCACTGCTGGGCACTGTGTGGCAAACCAATAGTATATTGCATCTAACCAGGATCTTATAGACTTTGTGCGCCTTTTCCAATACTAACCTCCACACGATCACATGCTCTACAGACATTTACATATAGACATATCTAGAACATAACTGCAGCAGCCTGAACTCCAGCTGTGCTCCATGCCATTTTGGTAAGGACAGAAAGAGTCTATCTGCCAATTTGGGTAAGGGTCTGCACGACATTTTTGAGCAATGTGAGCCATTTTCCTCACTCTTCCCCCTTTATTCTCTCACACCTCCGCACAAACACACACCTACACACTTACATGTTCTTGCTGATTGTTGTATACTTTGTTTCTCTGCTTAGAATAGATGGTAGTGATTTGTTGACTGAAGGTGTTGATCACTGATCTATGCTGAAGTAAAATCAGTCCTATTGTGTTTAAAAAGAGCAGTTGCCTGTGACCATTCTTGTATTACGTTGTAATAACAGCTGGTTGTGACGGTCAGTGCTCGGATTCACCCTTCACTGTCCACCTTATTTATGTAAAATGATGTTTAAATATTGGTATTTAAAGGGTGACAAAACCCCATTTTGAGTTTTTGAGTTGTTTTCAAATTTGGTTATTGGTCCCTGATTTCAGGGTGGTTCCATGTATTTATGAATCTTTAATAATAATTTGTAATAATAACTTTATTAACGTTATGCAAAAATATGCAAATGTTTTGCTAATAACCAAATTTGCCCCATCCCAAATATTATAGTTGTAGTCAAGTTTAGCCCTCTTTTTGGGCATCCCAAGCCTGTAAAGCTCTTTTACGACCTGTGCCAGCCTGTGTGTATGTCCTAAGCTTCCAAATATGAAAACAAGCAGTTGACAGCTCCAGCCTAGCTCTGAGATTGTGTTGGTATTTTATGACCTTTGTCACACACATGTACATACAAACACACACACACACACATGCACACACACACACACACACACACACACACACACACACACACACACACACACACACACACACACTGCGTGCTCATGGTGGGGGTTTCTGTAAATAATGTTAGAAAGTACTTGCTAGATCTGCTCTATAAGAAAAGTGCATTGAGAGAAATTTGAAAAATAAAATTGAATGTAATTGAAACATAAAGGGCAAAACTTCCAACACAAAGCAAACTACAGTGTGTTAAAAATGGTTCAGCTGAAAGCTCTGCATTCAAATGTGCAGGCCGTAAAGTAAAATCTGTGTATTAAAAGAGAATGTTGTAAAATACAGAATTGGATACAGACACAGACAGAGCGGACTCAAAAATTCCCTTTGATCTATTAAAACTTCTTCTAACCATAAATGTACAGCGAGGGTGTAAAGTTTAAACTGTCCAGCTCTCAGCGTTTGACTTTTGTTTTTACTGTGGTGAAAGAAGTGTGAACTTCTGTGAACAGGTTTCCGCTGATGGAAACTTAAGACCTAGCTTGAACACAGGAAGACTGAGGCCTGTGGCCCCCAAGCCACAGTGTAGCAGCTCAGACAGTCATTTTAAAAGGACAGCTGTGCGAACCGAGGGTCATATCTTAAATGCAGATAACATGTACTCAAATGTGAAATATGAGCCTTAACCAAGAAAGGACTTAACACTGTATTGTGACAGCATTGTGACAGTGTCATCTTATGTTAACTTTCCTGAGTTCACTATGATCACACACCATGCACTAATCATTTCAGTTGGTTGTTATGCATTATGAAGTATAAAACAACTCAATTATTGAAGTGTTTCCAGGCTCAGATAGCTGTGAGAAATAAATCTGTGCCTGAAGGAGTTTACAAAAGTGTCTCAAATGTTATCTGTCAACCAATCAGCATTTCTGCATGGTTTATTTATCACTAAAGAAGCCATTGTAAATAAGACAGGATGTGGGCGGGACTAACGTTAGTTACTTAAGCCTTAAATTGGTATGAGTTGATCAGTGGAAACTGAATCAGTGAGTGTATTTACTAGACAACTATTTACAGAACAGCCTCAGCTTAAGCTTCTGAGCATTTGTTTTGATTACAATAGAAAGAAAATTTTTAAAAAGGTTCCTGTATTTATAGTTTAAAAAAAACCCAGATAGACATGTTTTACTCTGATGATACTCATACTCATAAAAAGTACATTATCTGTACCGGAATATATGTCTGCTGTAAATTAACGAAACATATGGAGAGTAAGCGTAAGGAGGTAGTTATGGTGGATGAGCGGGTCGGAAACTGGGCTTTCACCCAGCAGACCAGTGTTTGTTTCCTGTGTGAAACAAAAAGTCATATTTATTTTAATCCAAACCATGATCCTTTCCAAAACCTAACCAAATTGTGAAGTTTCACAACGTTAACCGCTAGTTTTATTTTATTCTTGCTAAATTAACCGCAGACACCTACAAGTGCAAAAATAACGATGCTAAAGGGACCCCAAGGTGTCTTGACCAAGTGTCCATATGTGATGCCCCGGGATGAGAATGGGTTGCTGTGTCCACTTGCATCAAGCCTTTCACTCTTGCTAAAAAAAGCCTCTTACAACACCAAATTTACACACTTTTTTGGTATTGGGACTTTTGGCAGAAAAGTCTGGATTAACCAGCAGAGTCAGAGGACTAACATTTCATACTGGGGTAAATGTTCCTGATCATACAGTATGTTATCTTGAAAATGATTAATCCCAGTGCTGTATCATAAGCCCATTTGCAAGTGATTACTGGCTTCATTTCATGATACTATTTCTGACGTATATTTGGTGTCCATTTTAGTGACTCTTCTTCTGAACACTGTTGTTGTCATTGATGTTGACCACCAGTTCCACGGTAGGGGGCATTGAACATGTGTAGACTGTTTCCAA